AGAAGAATCGGTATCCTTTCTTAGTTGGTTTGCTCTGGTACTCGCAGCACTGAATTATTCTTTGAGTCCATGTCTGCAACAAATGTGATTCAGGTTTCTTGAAAACCTTTCTGAAAGTTCTGCATACCTTTAAAATGATTTTTTTTTTGAGTTATGCTTTGTGCATTCTTTGTTTTATTTATTTGTGAGCAGCTTTTTTTAAAAAAATATTCCTGACTTTGAAAGCTTTCTCAGTCCCAGGTTATTTTATTGGGATTTCTGGATATCATTCCTCTGTAATATACTGTATTCTTTTTAAAAATATTTATATTTGAGAAAATTAACTATGGAACATACCAGTTTCCATCCTCTACTTTCAAGTAGCAATGCATATTTGGAACCTGTGCTTTCAAAATCCATGTTGGCACCTATTGAATTTTAGACTAATTACTTTCTTTTTAGATTTCTGTTTGTTTTTCCATTAAGAAACACTTTTTCACACAAACTGTTTCCACATATAGTGCTAATTAATTTTGTTATCTCACTTGCTAATGGTCATACATTTCACTCACTCATACACAAATACTTGTCTACACTGAAACATTATGCCCTTAAGCTGTGTTCACACTTTGATGTACTGTGTTCCTTTCAAACCTGATTAAGCCTCTTAAACTTTCTTTACATTTCTTGAAAATCAGATGGACTTTAGAATTTTGTATCCTATTTTTGTCTCTGTCCACAAGACGCTGTTCACAAGTTCATAAAGTTTGCTCATTGATTGTGAAATACCACTGAACTGAAATCATCTTCCATTAGGGACTAGAATACTAGAATAATGGTGATTTCTCTAGCATTTTTCAATAGAGTCACTCTTTTTAATATGTGCAGGACGAGTCATCAAATTTTCATATGCCATAATTATCTAAACCTGTGATAATGGCATTGATCGTGATGTTCTGCCTTGTCTTCTCTGCTTTAATTTATATCTGTCCTCCACAAATAAGTTCATTATTTATCCATGTAAGTGATGCACAGAGAACAAGAGAAAAGGTAAGTTGTATATATGTAACTTTGATACTTTAAATAGTAATTTTCTATTCACTCAACTAGTTGCTTCCTTTCTCATATTCTTGTTATTTTCATATATTTCTATACACTATATTGATAAACAAACTGAAGAGAATAGATAGTAGTACTTCTAGAATCATAGAATATAATATTGGGAGGAATGAAGGGGATCATGCATAGTTATGTTTAAACTTTTGTGAATCCTATTGAATTGCATATATATGACCTGAAATATGATCTGTTCTCCACCCAAGGCCTAAAACTAGATAAAGAGAATTCAGTTAAACAAATGAGTCAAAAACATTATTTTTGTTAATTGATTTATTGAGGAAAATGATCCAAAGCTAAATATATGTGTGGCAAAAAAAAATAAAAATGTTTTTTTGTTTTTCACATTTCTGAACTGCCCATCTTCCTCTGAGCAGTGTACAATAAAACATCAAAATATCTCATGGGAGCTTACCAGAGACTTTTGGAGAGAACAGGATCAATTCTGTAGTTTTGCTGCTCATTGTGAAATGTTTATGGCAAGGAGATTACTGGAGTTTCCTATTGATCACACCAAGGTAACTTGGTGCTAAGCTTGCTGAAGGAAACAGCAGCCAAACAGGCAATACTGTTCACTGAGGGGAACAGTTCAGTGCAGAACCACTATTAAGATTTCTTCTATACTTAAGAGACACTTTAGGGATACCACTCTTGGATTCCTCTTCGGAATCCATAGTGGGAGAACCCACACAAATAAGAGCAGCTAGATGATCCATGACATTGAAAAAGACAATACAATAAGATGCAGAACTTTAAATATATGGAGCATGAAGACATCAAATGTCCAGCTCAGTCACAGACAGTACCTTGAGGCAAATTTGCCAGCTCCCATCCCCAGAGATCTGAAGAGGGGCCATCCATTATTTGAGTAGAGCTCAGGCAGATAAGAACAGGCAAACTTTCTTAATTACTCCTGCTATTATTACCTTAGATTCCAGGCTTTCAGCGCTTGTAAACTATGGGACAACTACTAATTTTATTTATACAGAAACAGTACAGAAACGTAAGTTGCCTACTCAAGGCCTAGAATGCCCAATGATTATTGAAACTATTGACGGACTGGACAGGTCCTACACCACACAGTTCCTTTGCAACTGACAATCAAAGATTAGACAGAATATATACCTATAATTATTACAAGTCAGTTCTGTAACTACATAATTACTACATTTTCAAATTAAAACAGCCACCAAGTCATTTTTTTTAAGGATGAGTAGGCTAAAATTTGTCCATGCTGATGCACAGGACTGGTCAACAATTATCAGAAACATGTAGTTGCAGTTATTGCTGCCCAACAGTCCATGCCAGTTAGTGAAAGCAGAGGTTCACATAATTTTGCCCCACACAAAAATGCAACTTTGGGTTATTCTCCTCAATAATGAACAAGTATAATGTTTTTGACTCATTTGCTTAATTGTGTTTTCTTTAATTTTAGGACTTGGATGGAGAACAGATCATATTTTGTATAACTTAAATATAAACTTACCTTGTAAACTTAAATTTTGAATATCTTTTAAATTTTAAATTTAATTTTTAAATATAACCTAAGATGGAAAGGCTACCATTTCACAAGACAATTTATGGTTGAAAAGCTAACAGCATTAAGAAATATTTTCTGATGTTCAAGTGAAATCTGTTTCCTTATGATTTAAATCCATGATTTCTTGCCCAGTCTGCTGGAACAACTCTGAACAATTCTGTTCCTTTTTCTACATGACAATTCAGACAATTTCTGAAGGCCACTATTGTGTTTCCACACAATAATTTATTCTCCAGGCTAAACATGTCCAATGCATCCAACCATTTCATATCAGGTTGGTTGTTGTCTTCCAGACATGTTGCAGTTTGCCATTTCTTTCTTAAAATCAGATGCCAAGAACTGAAGGCAATTTTCTAAGTGTGATGTGACCAACACAGAATAAGGAGGAACGATTGTTTCTCTGATCTTATACTTATATAGGATTGCATTTGCTTTTTTCACAGCTGCATCATATGTTTGCTCACATTTAATTTTTGATTCACCAGGACATCTGCTACTCAGTATGGTTCCTTCACCCAAACATTTAATTTATTCTATCCAAATATAGGATTTTTCTCCACCAACATTTATCTTGATTGTTTTAGCTTGTCAAGGTCTTCCTGAATGTTAATATTGTCCTCTAAGATATGTGCTATCTCTGCTACTTTTATATCGACTAACCATATTTTATAACCTTATTTTTTAATTCTCTTTTCTAAGTCATTTATTCAACAGCATAGGGCTTAGAATGGAATTCTGATGTACCAATTAACACTTCCAACTTGATGTTGAGCTGTTGACATATATCTAATAGAGCTATTGACATATACCTAATAGATATGATTGTTCAGTCTACTATACTAATTATAGTATAATCCAGCCCACATTTTGTCTTGTTCTCTACCAGTATATCATTGGAATCTTTACTGAATGCTTTGCTGAAGTTAAGATATACTATATCTACCACATTCCCACGGTCAGCTAAACTAATTGTTGGTCACAGAAAAGTGGATCATATTGGTTTGGCTATGATATACATTGAATATATGAGAAATGGCAGCTTTCTCCCCAAAATATCACATTTGTGTATAGTCACAGATAGTGGTGGGATTCAGATATGTGAACAACTGGTTCTCTATGTGGTTGCCACTTCCGGAGGTCCATTCTGGGGCTGGGCAACAAAAAATTAGCTACTGGTTCTATCGAACTGGTGCGAACTGGCTGAATCCCACCACTGGCCACAGAACCTATCTACACAAATATTGCTGATGATTACTTTGTGCAGTCTGTCTTGTTATAGTCTTTCGCAAATATGTAATATGTTTTTTCTTCAAACCTTAGAAATGTTTGGTTTTAAGAGCTATATAAAAGCAAAAATGTAACACATTCCAAGCCATGACTAAAGCTATTGCATCTACCGGTTTGTTATAAGAAAACTGAAGTGCAGTACAAATTAAAGTGTAATAAGGAAAATAGCAGAGTTTTTCTAGCCATCCATCAGATCTTATAGGCAAGACATAAATCTTCCCCATGCACTAGAGAAAAACAAGGCTGTCCAACTGAAAGCAACAAAATCTTCTTTTTAAAAATGTTATTACATACACACAACTTGCATTATTGGAAAAGCAATGAAATAAGAGAAATGGCAAAAAAAACCATTGGTAAAGCAATAAAGGATATTGAAGATGGCGTGCTTGATAGTCTTATAATGCTATTAATGAGTGTCTAGTAAATATCTGTGCAACAAAAAGAGCTATTTTTTTCTTGTGAATTGTCTATTAATAGAACACCATATTTATTCAGGGAAAAATGAGTTTTATTTAATGACCAGTTTCTCAATAGATGCATAATACATGTGGAATATATGTGGAAGAAAATGTGTGTTTAGAAAAGCTCAGACAAGATTTAACTATATAACTAGACTAATATTTTTAAAAGTCTTGGAAATGCAATTACATAGCTAAGGAATTATTATGAAGAACTAATTATTTTTGATCAACTTTAATTAGCAAGTAACTTTAATTAGCAGTCTTGGAGAATGGTTTTGCTTTACATTTTAAATAATACACTGATTTTCTAGAAAGTTGTTTATTCTACACTAAATGCATAAATAAGAATGAGTAGTGATATTTGGAAAATGAAAAAAGGCCATTGTCCAGTCAAAAAAATTGTGACAGTGCTTGCTGCTCAGACAAATGAGGTATATTATTTTTCATAAAACCTTTTGGAGCTCTTTATATTAAGAAACAGAAATCATCCATATTGCCATAAAATAATCTTCATGCAGAGTAGGAGAAATATCATGAAATATCATTTTCACATCCTTCTTTATATTTAAAGTTTACAAACTAAGCTACTCTTACAAATTCTTTTTTTTTTTATCCAGGTGGAGGCAGAATTGATTGATAAGCTGGACAGTTTGGTATCAGAGGGGAAAGGAGATGAAAATTACAGGGAACTTTTCAGTCTGCTGTAAGTCTTATGTTTAGCATTATTAAAACTTTACATATCTATATAAAAGTGATTGGAAGGATGATCTAAACATAAGAACTGTTCTTAGAAATGAATAATACATCAGAATGAATGGCCCTCTGGTTTCATAAAAAGTACAACAAAAACTTCAATATAAAGTAGCATATCCATTTTATTTAATAATTGCAGAAAATTGAATGCCTTCATTTTTCCGAAAGGATGTTTTGATTTCTGTTTTTTTCTTTACTTTCTGTTTTGAGATGCCATTTTACAATTGGAGATATCCCTATGTTTTGACAAAATGAGTACGGGAGTAGGGAAGAAGTCTTGCCTGCTGTTCCCCAATAATTATCCTTTCAGTGTCTCAGACAGTGCATATTGAGTATCTTCTTATAATCTTTATCTTCAACAGGATTTACTAAATTATTTGTGAAATACATGAGCTTCATTAAGATTGCACAAATATAGTTTGGAGTGTCAATGAAAGTACATGACACGAAAAATGAGGTTAGGCAAACAGCTCTGAATTACCATAAGATCTCTGTTGTTATTAATTTTTAAAATAAGCACACCATGAATTCTGAAAAGAAACTGGCATTGTTCCAAAATTAAGACATGAATTAAAGCAGAGGTCCCCAACCTTTGGGGCACCAGGGACCGGTTATGTGGAGAAAGTTTTTTCCGCGGACAGGAGGGGGCATGGCTTTGTGTGCTGCCTGCATTCTGTGGATGGGGCTTTCCTTGTTTCTATGGACTGGTTGCCAGCATGCTGCGGCCCAGCATTGGTCCACGGACCGGGGGTTGGGGACCCCTGAATTAAAGCACTAACTATTAAAATATTCATTACATTGCTTTGACAACCTAAATTCTTTCCTGATCATTCAGAACTTGTCAAAAGACCATACAAAGGAGTTTGATTTTCAGATGATTTACAATTTAACTGAGATGCCTTTACACGATTAAATATTAACATTTTAAAATCAATATTAAAATATTAAATTTCAGCAGTGTTTCAATATTAGTGTCATAGATAACACAAACTTAAATGATTAAGATATAAAATGTTATTAATTCTCTGAACCAAATTAATTAAATTGAAGAGTTCACTTCTGAAAGCTCAGATTTTTAAAAATATTTTTACCGAAGCCATCCTTACCTGCAGAAAATGTCAGGTCAGGTTATTCTTGTAGTCATAGCCACTTCATAGCCACTATTTCACAATTTAAATACACAAACAATATATAGATGTTATAGAACTTACATTATTGAAAAATAAAATATTATATTGAGCCCTGGTGGCATAGTAGTTAGAATGCATTACTGCTGGCTACTTCTGTTGATTCCTGGCTGCCAGTAATTTGGCAGTTTGAATTTCACTGGCTCAAGGTTGACTCAGCCTTCAATCAAGGTCAGTAAAATGAGGACCCAGATTGTTGGGGACAATATGCTGACTCCGTAAACCGCTTAGAGAGGGCTGTAAAGCACTGTGAAGCGGTATATAAGTCTAAGTGCTATTGCTATACTAGAAGCACTGAATTGAACTATATTTCCATTCAGTATTTTCAGTTGCTCCATTGTTTATAATACTGAATATTATGAAAAAGAACTTTGTATCTTTTTAAGGAGAGAAGACATATAACTTGTAATTTTAGAAAAGAACCAAGCAGAGGAATGTTGAGTTTTCCTTTATCTCCCATTAATAATAATGTGTAAAAGGAAACCAGGCTGTTAAAGAATATGGTGGTGGACACTATTAAAGCTGACACTAGGCAGAGCATAGAAAAACCTGAAAGAAATAGTGCAAGATCCGAAGATGTGGAGAGACCAAGCCCAAGAGTTGGACTCAACTGAATGATAACATCATCACAATACTAATGCTCACTTTCTAATTTGAGCACCAACAGTATCACTGGGCGTGGGGGGCGGGGGGGAGGCAGAAATCAGCCTGATGAAAGCAATCTCATAATATGATCCCTGCTTTTTCTCAGCAGTACATTATTTCTACAATAAAGGAAATATATGTTTGTATGTCTGCAAATGTATGCAAACTACCCAGAGTAACATTCACGAGTAGCAGTAGTGTAAATGCAATCTCTAGACCAGACACAGTATTTTCTTGGTATGAAATAATAATAGTGTATCATCTTAGTTCAATCATTTCCTTGTCTTTGCTTTATGCAACGTGGATCAGAACCCAGCTGTTTGGGCCTTATCCCAGGTAAGATGATTGTTCAGATTTTATATGGAAGTGTTTAGGTATTTTAAGTGTTCTCAAAACTATTCACAATCAATAATATTTTTGAGTAAGTCTTACTGATTGTTCACTTTCACACAGCCTGCTAGAAAAGATAGAACAAGAAACTTGGAGGGAGACAGGTGTTTCTTTTGTTACATCAGTTACTCGTTTGATGGAGCGCCTCCTTGACTACAGGTAATGCAATTATTCACAGTTCATGGACCTCTGATACATATGCAAGTAATGTTAGTAGTAACTAATAACATAATACTTTTCCCCAAAGATTTTTTCATGCTTATAACAGTGTACGCACAATGAGTATCATGAGTTGTACACCAGTTTTTTAAGGATTTAATATATAATCACTTTTTTGTATTTTCAGAATAAATGCCTCTCTAGTATATTATATAAATGATATAAAAGAAAAAGAAACTAGAGAATTAAGACTCTCTAAGGAATTTCTTGATGATTTACAGAATCAAGAAGTAAATAAAACTGCTAATCTTGCTAAAGTTACATAGTCAAAGTTGTGGAAATAACTTTATGGATTAATTCTTCAGAACTGCCTATATTTTTTTTAATTCCGTAATGGAAGAAAGTTTGAAATTTGAGCATATCAACTTTTCCTGTGTTTCAGAGACTGTATGAAAGGAGATGAAACAGAGAACAAGAAAATTGGTTGCACTGTTAACTTGATGGTGAGAATCATCTTTGTGACACGACAAACATTATTTGCCAGGATCAAAAACTCTTTCTTTCAATTCTTGTAATCTCATACTTGTGTCAGTGAAAGCATTTATCCTCCTTATATTTTGTTGGCCTACAGAAATAAAAAAATCAAGGATGAAAACTTCCTAGAATCCATATGGATCAATATAAAAGGAAAAAAGAATGACATTGCTATAGGCGTCTACTACAGGCCACCCAACCAAGCAGAAGAAATATATGAACTTTTAACCAAACAATTAAAAAATGTATATAGGAAATATACCATAATAGTAATGGGAGACTTTAACTACCCTGATATCAACTGGGAGACAAACTCTGCAGCAAGTGGGAAATCAAACAGATTCTTAATCAACCTAGCTAACAGTTTTGTCATCCAAAAGGTAGAGGAGGGAACTAGAGGAAAAGCTATACTGGACCTAATTCCTACTAATAGAGACGAAGTGATAGAGGGTGTTGAAGTTGCTGGAACTTTGGGTCAGAAGTGACCACATCATATTGGAATTCAATATAATGCAAACACAAGCAATAGAACATAATCCAGCCAGTGTCTTAAACTTCAAAAGAGCTGATTTTAACAAACTCAGAGAGAGTCTAAAAAAAATTCCATGGATGAAAATCCTAAAGGGGAAAACAGCTCTAGAAGCGTGGGAAACTCTGAAAAATATGATCATAAAAGCCCAGTACAGCACAATACCACTGAAAAAGAAAAACAAGCAATTCAAGAAGAAACCAGCATGGTTGCACAAAAATCTCTTTGATAAACTAACAGACAAAAAGGACAAGTACAAACAATGGAAAGAGGGATATAATAATAATATGTCCAACCCCCTGCTCAGGCAGGAAACCCTACACCATTTCGGACAGATGGCTGTCCAGTCTCTTCTTAAAAGCTTCCAGTGTTGGAGCATTCACCGCTTCTGGAAGCAGGTTGTTCCACTGGTTAATTGTTCTAACTGTCAGGAAGTTTCTCCTTAGTTCTAGGTTGCTTCTCTCCTTGATTAGTTTCCATCCGTTGCTTCTTGTCCTGCCCTCAGGCACTTTGGATAATAGCATCAGCAGATAGTCAGAATCTCCAAAGATGAAGTCAGGAAAGCAAAGGCTCAGAATGAACAAAGACTTGCAAAAGAAGTCAAAGATAATAAAAAAAAGTTTCTTTCAACATATAAATAACAAGAAAAAAAGTCAAGGAAACAATAGGTCCACTTAAGAGAGAAGATGGCAAGGAAGTAACAGGCAGCAGAGAGAAAGCAGAACAGCTTAATTCATTCTTTGCATCAGTCTTCACGCAAAAAGAAACTGTAGCCCAACCTACCAAAAGACAGACTAGGAATAAAAATTACAATAAGCAAGAAAATGGTTAGAGAACACCTATCTGATCTTAACGAATATAAATCAACGGGACCTGACAGATTACATCCCAGTGTTCTGAAGAAACTGGCAGATATTATTTCAGAACCATTGTAGCATATCTTTCAAAAATCCTGGAATACCGGGGAATTACCTGAGGATTGGAAAAGAGCTGATATGTTCCCATCTTCAAAAACAGGGGGGAGGGGGGAAACAGACCCAGGAAACTACAGATCAATCAGCCTAATATCAATACCTAGGAAGATACTGGAAAAGATCAATCAAAAAACAGATCTGCAAACATGTAGAAACAAATAAAGTTATAATTAAAAGCCAGCATGGTTTGTTAAAAAACATGCCAAGCCAATCTTATTTCATTCTTTGATAAAGAACTAAATTAGTAGACCAGCAGAACGCTGTGGATGTAGTATGCTTAGATTTCAGTAAGGCATTTGACAAAGTAGACCACATTTTACTTCTTGGTAAGCTAGAAAAAGGTGGAGTAGACATCACCACCAGATGGATATGTAGCTGGCTGACAAACTGCACTCAATAAGTAGTCCTTAATGTACTACATTCACATGAAGAGAAGTAAGCAGTGGGGTACCACAAAGCTCTGTCTTAGTCCAAGTACTCTTCAATATCTTCATAAATGACTTAGATGAGGGAATAGAAGGAAAACTCATCAAATCTGAAGATGACACTAAGCTAGAAGGAATAGCCAACACCCCAGAAGACAAGCTCAGGATCCAAAAAGATCTTGACAGACTTGAACAAAGGGCCCTATCCAACAAAATAAAATGTAATGTGGAGAAAAAGAAGGTTTTACATATAGGCAGGAAAAACCAAAGGTATGAGTACAGATTAGGTGAAACCTGGCTCAAAACATAACTGTGAGAGGGACCTTGGAGTCCTAGTGGACGATCACATAAATATGAGCCAATAGTGTGCGGCAGCAGCCAAAAAAGCTAATACAATCCTTGGTTCATAAACAGAGGCATAGAATGAGAATCATGTGAAGTATTAGTATCACTTTATAAAGCCTTAGTAAGGCCTCACCTGGAATACTGCATCCAGTTTTGGTCACCACATTACAAAAAAGATATTGAGAAAATGTGCAAAGAAGAGCAACTTAAGATTTAAGGGTCTGGAGGTTAAACATGAAAAATGTTTGCAGGACTTGGGTTTGATTAGTCTAGAGAAAAGAAGAATTAGGGGGGACACGATAGTAGTATTCTACTATTTGAGGGTCTGCCATAAAGAAGAGGGAGTCAACATATTTTCCAAAGCGCCACAAGACAAGACAAGAAACAATGGATTGAAACTAATCAAGGAGAGAAGCAACCTGGAATTAAGGAGAAACTTTCTAATAGGACAATTAACCAGTGGAACAGCTTGCCATCAGAAGTTGTGGGTGCTTCATCACTGGAGGTTTTTAAGAAGAGACTGGACAGTCTCTTATCTGAAATAGTATAGGGTCTCCTGCTTGGACTAAAAGACCTCCAAGATCCCTTCCAGTTCTATTCTGATTCAAATTATTCTTTTTATTGCTCCAAACATTGGGGTTTTCTCCAGTGACTCTTGCCTTTGTACTATGTGCTCAAAATATCTAAGTTTTAAGTTCATTAGTACTATCCTGTACAAAACCTAGAGCATCTAGCAATAAGATGGCACTCGAAAATGAGCTGCTAAGGGAATGTCTGAGGCAGCAGCAGAACTGGAAGGAAGATCAAGCAGAGGAAGTGCTGTGCCAAGACAATACCCTGCATGAGATGTATCATTGATAGATAGCTGAGATGGCTGTCATTGAGAAATTCTACCAGGGTCTGAAAAGAGCTGAACTAAAAGACAACACCAAGGGACTGATTATAGCAGTACAAGAACAGGCACTAACACCAGATCCATAAAAGCAGGGATTTACCACACTAGACAGAAACCAAGGTGCAGACTGAAGAGAGGCCTCAGAGACAGTCCAACACATAGTGGCATGTCCTTGTGGAAGGCAGCCCCACAACAGTCAATTCTGCAGAAGAATTCCTCAACAGAATTAAGACCCTTAGGGTGGAGGATGATGAGAGGATGGTATTGTTCGACGTTACCTCCCTCTTCACCTCCATCCCCCAGGACTTAGCTATTTCAGCCCTGGGAGAGCACTTGAGGAACACAGAAGGGAGCCACCACCAGGACTCCCTTCAGACAGACGACCTCTTGCGATTAGTGGAAATATGTTTCACCACCTATTTCACCTTCCAGGGTACCATCTTCAAACAAGTTAAAGGGACACCTATGGGCTCCCCCATTTCTAGCACTATAGCGGAAATAGTACTCCAACAGCTAGAACACAGGACTATGGCCTTATACCAACCCAAATTTTGGGTTTGGTAGGTGGATGACACGTTTGCAGTTGTTAAAAAACAACATGTAGCTATCTTTATGAGAGCACTAAACTCGATCTGCTCTGATATCCAGTTTACAGTGGAGGAAGAAAAACAAGGTCATCTAGCCTTCCTGGACGTGTCAATATACCACCAGTTGGATGGGATGTTACTTACAGGGGTGTTTCGTAAACCCACCTACACGGACAGAATACTCCACTATAGGAGCAACCACCCGTGTCTCATAAAGCTAGCTGCATTAGAGCATTGTTTAAGCACGTGGACTCCCACTGCAGCACTGAGGAGTTTAAGAAGAAAGAAAGGCAATACCTTTTCCGGATTTGTCAACATAATGGGTATCCTTTGAGGTTTATCAGACAGTACGGTCTTACACCCAAGTCCCGGAACAACCAAAAGAGAGAAGAACCATCATTACAAAAAATGTGTGTCTCTTTACCATATATTAATAACGTCTCGGAAGCAACAGCCAGACTGCTGGCCCCCTATGGAATAGAAGTGGCCCACAGACCCAATCAGACATTATGATCCAAAGTCATTCGCCCAAGGACCCACTCCTTGCCATGGATAGATCAGCAGTAATCTACAAAATCAATTGTAAGAACTGCGATGGCAATTATGTGGGTGAAACAGCTAAGCGTTTAAGATCTCGCCTGCATGAACATCAGTTAGCTATAAGAAGGGGCGAACAGCATTCTCAATTGTGGATGCATATAGCACAACATGGCCACCAGTTTGACTTTGTGAATGTTCGCGTTATGTCTGAGGATGCCACTAAGGGAGGCCAGCTACTGAAAGAGGCATGGTATTCCAACAAAGACGCAGTTAATCGTCACATTGACTTACATCCAACGCAACAAGCATTGAGGAAATGGGATTTTAAACACCATGCCAATCGTTATAAGCGGTTTGAACAATGCTTGTATAGCTGTAAATGTGATGGGATACCTGGCCTCCATCCTGAACAGATAGATGGAACTTTGGCTAACCCTCAACACTCCAGGGGCACCCCCGTTTCGCCCGATCAACACCAATACCATTCTAATGAACGTCTGGGGAAGCCACCACTGCTAAACACATGTAATCATCCACCGATGGAAGACCTCCCCCTTCCCCAATATCACCACAATAAACCCCCACCCCTGGAACTTAACAACAACTATGGAGAGTGTAGAGGATCCAGCATGAAGAGTTTATAGCCCGACACTGTGAAGAACGTCGACGGAGATCAAAAGAAAAAAGGGGGGGAGGAGAAGAACGAAAGCATGGCTCAATTGCCCAGGCATACGGTGAAAGGGAGAGACATGGTGTTCTGCCTAGACCCTCTTCAGACAAGGAATACCCCCACCAACGATCTAGCCCCCCCCCGGGATGAACACTTTGAAATCCCCCCAAAAATGAGCACAAGAGAGGAGAGTGAGAACGCAGGGAATCAGAATGCAGAGATCCGAAGACCTGGCGTCCGCCTGAATGCCGCTCCTACTAGCAATGGGGAAGAGCGTGTGATAGGGAGGAGGGGGGATGATGAATTGAGAGGCAGAGTAAGCACCCGATCACGCAGCAAACAAATGGAATGGTGGAGAACTGTCAACACGAAGATTGCCAGGACGGAGGAGGAGGGCATAGCCCCCAAACATGCAACACCCGTATGAAGGTTACTCATGACAGTGGAGGCATGAGAAGAGAGGGTGTGGAGCAGAGATTGAGAAAAGCGTGGGGGGGAGCGTCTGTGATCCCAGAGAGGCTTGTAATACTGATAGAGGAGAAACGGATGCCCCCAGGGTGGAAAATGAAAACAAAAAGGAGATGAGGGTCAGTACTATGGAAGGAAATAAGGATAAAGGGGTGGTGGAGGAGATGAATGTTAGTAATGGAATGGTGGGAGAAATGATCCGGAAGAACCATAGAAGGAAGCGCAAGGAGAGTAATAAAGAAACATCTGGAACACTAATTAACCGGCCGGGACCGGTGACGCGGTCCATGAGCCGGGTGCAAATGCCAGCCAAACCCATTTAAGTCATCATTGTTTATTGGCTCCTTAGCCCTGATGATGTTTGGAGTTTCCAAACGAAAGCTTGGCAGCTTTTAAGTAAAGTATATTTTTATATTTGTATTCTCCTGGTGTTCGTATTTTATTCGTACCATATATATGTGTATATATGTATATATATGTGTATATATATATACCATGAAGCCGAAAACACCAGCCTGAAGATGACGAATGAGACTTCGTCGAAACGTCGCCAAGACACTTTCAATTTGACGCAGGAAAAAACCCGAATAACCAAAGACCTACATATATATATATAAATTTGACATGATTTAAATAAAAATAGAATGGCACCATTTTCAATCTTTAAGTATATTTCGTAAGGAGGACCTGTTAAAGACATAATATCGGGCCATTATTTGTTTTGAGCTGTTACCTGTATTAGGAGATCATTGAATCTTCTGAGATCTAATTTATATTTCAAATAATCCTAATTTGTAAATAAAATATGATGGAATAAACAAAATTAAGGTGTAACACAGAAATGAAATACAGTATATTCAAAACTAAAAGCTTCCTGCACTGGAAGGATGAGTATAGAAGAAGGTGGATGTAGAAGAGGATATATGTTTTCAGTTTCTTCATGGTTTATCTCATGAAACCAAAACATGATTTAGCATTCTAAATGAACTGGATGAAAAAATACATAAGTCTTGAAAATATTTTGATTGATAAATTTTCAAAAATTATTTTCTGAAATATTTTATTTTTCAGAATTTTTATAAATCTGAAATTAATAAGGAAGAAATGTATATTCGTTATATACACAAGTTATGTGACATGCATCTGCAAGCTGAAAATTACACAGGTAAATATGGGAGAAGGTTTTATTTACATATTTACAGTGGTCTCTTAAATATGTCTACATTTTCATAAAATTTTTAACTGTAAATGTATAATTTACATAGTAATCGGTTGTACAAGCATACAGCATAATTCTTCTCAAATTATATCACAGTGGTCAGTAAAAATATGTGGCTAGGATTATGCATGTTTTTTTCAAGTAATGACACAATATCTTTGGAAGACATTGCATTTTTGTAAGCAGGTTGAAACTAATTCTCCACTATTTGTTTACATTACCAATGTCTCTAGATTAGCAGTTAGCAATTTGAGGTGCACTTAAGCAGGAGCTGGAGCATTGCAGCTAATTTATTTTAGTTGCATGCATATGGTATTTTTTTTTTTACTAAGTCCACATTATTTTCATTGATATTACCTAAAGTCCAAAGAAGAATAATTAATTAACTAAACACTGTATGGTCTCTCAATTTATTTTTCCTTTATTTCAGCATAACTTTTTACTAGAAAAATGCCTTTTTCATCTGATTCATTTAGGCTTTTCATAACTTTTTAGTTTCTCTATTTGCATATTTATACAAGTTGAAATGTTTTGATATTATTATGCAGTGTTCATTGCTTATTGGTTTGACAGAGGCTGCTTTTACATTGCTTTTGTATTGTGAGCTACTACAATGGGAGGACAGGCCTCTTCGGGAATTCCTCCACTATCCATCTCAGACAGAGTGGCAACGTAAAGAAAACCTTTGTCGGAAGATTATCCATTATTTTAATAAAGGCAAGGTCAGCAAATGTTATTAGTAATTGTTTTCAAATTTTATTTGATATTCTTTGCTAAAGATAGAACTAAATGTTTTCTGCTGGAAGATTTATTTACTTGTCAGGAGAATCATAAATTCATTGAATTACACTGTAGGGAGTAGCCATTTAGGCTTTCAAATCTGGTCTGATTGTTACAAGTTTCCAATTTTTGCTGGAATAAGGGGGAAAGCACCACTTTCATGATGGTATGCCTAACATTCAGGCCGTGTTAACAATGGATTAGATCAGTGTTTCTCAACCTTGACAATTTTAAGGCATGTGGACTTCAACTCTAGGAGTTGAAGTCCACATGCCTTAAAATTGTCAAGGTTGAGAAACACTGGATTAGATAAAGGCAAAATCATGTCCCTTAAAAATGGTTAGCAATAAGAGAAAGATGTGGATGAGCTTTACAATATTTGTTTTTTGTCCATACATTTACAAGATGCCACAAGATAAATAAACTTCTGCAAATGCTGCTTTTACTAGAAATGTGTTACACAAGATCTTCTGGAGATGGGTCTAATTTTCATCAGAATTTTTCAGCTCTATTACTTTTTTACATTCCAAGAGCTGTGCTAATCAGGTTGTACAAATTGCTTCAAAGAACAATTAAATAAATATAGATTTGCATTTCTGCTGAACAGACCTTATATCTGTTTAAAACTCTACTGGGAAAAGAGTGCTTAATTTAAGAAAGTTTCAAGTTATATTAATTCAAAGAAACATCTGATTTTCTCTCCTGAAATAAGAAACATGTGCTATTACAATCTAAGTTTGAGTCATTGCGTTCACAAACAAACACACACACTATATTCTTTCTTCCCCAGAAGATGGATAGGGTAATGTTTGAGTAAATATTTATATACAATAAGAAATGGAAACACAGAATTTAGATTCATCTGTGCATTCTTTCTTATACTTTCTTGCAGAGTTGTCATATTAAACTTACCCTATGCTTTACTGTCTGCTGTTATTCAGAGTTAGTATTATTTTGATAAACATTTTTTGTTTTTGCATGGTATCTTTTGTCCAACTCAACTAATTTTTCCATTGGCTAGAGAAGAGAAAACCTAGAGCCTATACCTCTGACTGGCTAACAAATAATAAAGGAGCTCATTAAGAATTATTAAATGTTCACTTATTTTTCTTATCTCCATTCTTAAGTTTATCATAGGAATACACTACTAAGGGTTACTTTCTTAATTTTAATTAGATATTTTTCATGTATAAAAATCCTATTTCATCTCAGATTTTAATCTTTCTGTTAGAGCTGGGAATTTGGAATCCCGTTATGCAGAGAGCTGGCTACTCAGTATGAAACACTATATGATTATCAAAGTCTCAGCTGGATTCGGGTGAGTGATGTTCAGCTTTTAAAATGGCATTTCCTGCAGGACAAATGCTGTCACAATATTTGCCAATTGGAAATATACAGACAGTCCTTGGTTAATACCATTTGTTCAGTGATCATTCAAAGTTACAATGGTGTTGAACAAGTGGTGGCTATGACTGGTCCTCAGAATACTAGCCATCCCAGCACCCTGCAATCATATGATAATGATCTGGCTGCTTGGCAACCAGCTCGCACTTGCAATGGTTGCAGCATCCTACAATCATGTGATTGTGATTTACAACCTTTCCTGTGGGCTTCCTATAAGCAAAGCCAGATGAGAAGACTGCAAGTTGTTCAGATAAGTCTCACCCATTCACATACCTTCCCTCAGTACCTTTGTTCTTGCTGACATGCTGTGCCTCAGCAACCACCTGGATATCCTCCCTGCTATTTGTGCAACCCTGCACATCCTCCCTGGCCACTTGCACATTCTCCTGCCTGACAGCAGCTACCCCAAACCCCGCCATACTCATGCTGTGTTTCCCTGGCTATCCAGACATCTTGCTTCCTCTCCCACCTGGCAGTGGTCACTTTTTTGCCTGCTGGCTTGCTTGTAAGCCAGCAGCAACTTGCAAGACCAATGCCAGCTTCCCCGCTGACTTTGGTTGTTGGAAACCATAGCACAGTGATGGTGAACCTTTTAGAGACCCAGTGCCCAAACTGCAACCCAAAACCCACTTATTTATCACCGGGTGCCAGGTGGGCTCGGCCACGGTAGTCATGGCAGACTGGGTGGGTGGGGCCAGGGCAACGGGGGCCAGTCCCTCGCCATCTCCATGGTATGGCACGTGTGCCCACAGAGAGGGCTCTGAGTGCCACCTCTGGCACGCGTGCCATAGATTTGCCACCACTGCCATAGGAAGTTGCAAGAACATGCTTTCTCAATGACTCACAATCCTCACTTAACAACAGCAAGGATTGCTTTGCTAAATGTGATGTTGCACTTTATCACTGTCTCACTGAACAATAAAAATTATGGTCCTAATTGTCATCATAACTCAAGGATTACCTGTACCATCCTTAGCAAGTAAATAAAACACTTTGTAATACACTTTTACTATGTATATTAGAATGGCCCCATTTACTAAGTTTTAATTAAAAAGAAAAGCAGCCACTAAAATAAAACATTTAAATATTACTCACTTCTGCTCTCAAAACATGATCTAATCAAGACGTTATCCCAAGTTCTGTACCTCTTTTCCCTTATTTAGTTTAATGAATGTACTATACATTAGGGCATCCAAAGTAATTTCCCACATTTTTTTAAATTTGAGATCCCTTTATCATTCAAATTTTTTGACAAAAATCCATATTTTACTAAAACAAATATAGAAATTCAGACATCCACTCTATATATGGCAAGGGTGTCAAACTTGCGATGTCATGTGACGTCGCGCAATGTATTGGGCCGGTTTTGCCATTGCCGGCAATTGGGGGGGCACGGCTTCCGGATAACGCGTCCGGCCCACAGGCCGGCAGTTTGACGCCCCTGATATATGGTATAGTTATTCAAATGGAAATCACTGTGATTATATTCAACACTATATAACTGAAAATAATTATATTTTCAAATCCTCAAATCAACACTGTTTAGCCTTCAGGCTGCTCTTTTTAAAATTAATTGAAATAAAGGAATGAAAATAAAATTTCTTTTCAAATTTGTACATAAGATTATGCATTTTTACATATGTTACAAGTCTAAGGCACTGGTTTGGATTTTTATATGAATCTTTGAAAACTTTTCACAACACATTGTTTAATCAGTAGTCTACTGTATATGCTTTATACTAAAAATTGTTCAGACATTCAGTCACTTCTGAATCTTTATGACCTGATGCTCAGTTTTGCCAAAATTGTCTGTGGTTAACTGTTCTTTGAGCTCTTATAACCTTAAGCTTGCATAGAAAGTACAGTGTAAAAAGAATTATTGTATTCTATAAAAATATTAAAAGTACGTATGCATGGAATCCTCCCTATGAAAAACTGAGTTCTCTGTAAAGTTATCTTGAATATGTGTTTCATAAGGGTATGATACTTTAAGTGTTTGAAAACCACCTGTTAATGGTGTCAGATACCATAGTGTTACTACATAAGGTCTGGGACAACTCGCCACGGGATAACTTGTTGCAGCCAATTCACCACAGGACAACTCGCAGTTCCACTAAGGATAACTCAATGTGATAAATATTATCCACCACTGTTTCTTCAGCATTATTTGTGTTTCTGTCAAGATGGCCAGGGCAAGTTGGCCGCAGTGAGACAGCCATGACGAGATGGCCCCAGTGAGTTGTTCCAGCTGTCACCTTTTTTCTCCTAAAGGTACAGCATTATTTCAATCCAGTATAATTTTTCTTTTCTATCTTTAGAAAATGGAAGCTAACTATTATGACAATATAATGGAACAGCAACGGTTGGAACCTGAATTTTTCAGAGTTGGCTTTTATGGAAGAAAATTTCCTTTCTTCCTCCGTGTAAGTACATTTAACAATTCCATTACTGTATGAATTAACTGCAGTTTACAATGAAGATGGTTTGTGTATTCATTGAAGGAACTAAAATTGTTCTGTTTTAAAATATGGATTTATCTAGAAAATTATAAAATTGATTTATTCATCCAAAATATTGATGTTGTTTCTGCTAGTTTAGTTATTGTCCGTATTTTCCAAATTTTAATATTTAATGTAGTTTTGTAGCTGGAATGTATATGCATTCCTACTGGCTGTTTCATTATTTATAAATATAATTGAGTTTTTTTCATCTAAAATATTGTACATACAATAAATCTTCTAACTGCAGTGATAAGACAGCTAGGCTTGAAATTTCAAAAAGTCATTCTACAGTTTAATAGCATTTCCAAGTAGTATTAATTCAAATGAGACTTAGATTCACAGAATCTATTTCAAAAATAGTGGCAAGTAAGCAGAGTTGGATTGCTAAACTTTCATATGAGTGTTAGTCCATACTGGAGATGAAGTTATTTAGCGAGAGAGGAACTGTTGAGAAAACTGTTCTGGAGAGTCTGCATGGCCTTGGATTACTATGGGGGAAAGAATCAACAACGGAGGCGCTGGTGGTTGACATGGAGGGTGAGAGATTGGCTGCAAAGTCTGGAGGAGTGGGGAGGAAGAAAGAGAATTACTGGAGGTGGAAACAGTCTTGTGCTGAGTGTTTTGAGCAGTGAAGGCAGTGTTTTGGGTGACAGGCAGAGTGGGGCAGCAGCCATTGTAGCTGGGAAGTTTCCCTCTGTTGCTGGCCATCTTTGGAAGAGGAGGAGGAGGTGTGACCAAAAGTGGAAACGTGGCAAATGCAAAGGCCTAACATCTAGGCTAAAAGCTAGACCTTACAGAGCATCACTTCCATCTATTTTGTTTGCAAATGCTCGCTCCTTAGAGCCAAAAATAGATTACTTGAGGCTAGATTTAACAACAAACCAGGAGGTGAGAAACTGCTGTGTCATCACTGCAACAGAAACTTGGGTAAAGCCCTCTGTCCCAGATAGTGCTGTTAACTTGATGGGATTTTCAACATTTCGGCTGGACCGGAGTTTTGCTCTTAGTGGCAAATCCCCAGGAGGGGGTGTCTGTTTTTATATAAATGACAGATAGTGTAATGTAAAGGTGGTTTCAAGTCTATGCTCCTCTGATGTGGAGGATCTGACCATCAAATGCAGACCCTTCTATCTGCCTAGAGAATGTTCTGTTATCATTATCATAGCTGTATATATCCCCCCTGATGCAAACGGAGAAGAGGCCCTGAACGTTCTCTATCATACCATCAGTGACTTACAAACTACTCACTCTGAGGTGCATTTATTGTAGTGGGGGACTTTAATCAAGTTGATCTGAAAGCTACTCTGCCACATTTCCATCAATACGTGGACTTTGCAACCAGAGGGGAGAATACACTGGATCTTGCTTATTCCAACATCAAGAATACATTCAAAGCTATCCCCCGCCCTCACCTGGGCTGCTCTGATAATCTCAGTGCTGCTTATTCCAACATATAAACCTTTATTAGTCAGAGTGAAACCTACAGTAAAGTAGGACAGAGGGAGCTATGGAAGCATTACAAGACTGCTTTGAATGCACAGATTGGGGCATGTTTAAAGAAGCAGCTACTCAAATGTTGGAGATGTGGAAATTTAGATGCAACCTATTTTCATATTTGGTGGACTTGTAGAGATATTAAAGCTTTTTGGATTAAGATTTGATGGAATATCCAAAAGATTTTTAAGAGAAATATAAAGTTTACTCCGCAATTATTTTTGTTGGGTATTATTGTAGATTTCGATGTTAAAGAAATTAATTTGATGTTGAACCTTATAACAGTTGCAAGATTATTGGTGGGGCAATATTGGAAGAAAAACTTATTGCCTACTTTGGAAGAATGGATACTTAAAGTGTCTAATTTAACAGAAATGGCGAAAATCTCCGCCTACTTGAAGGATCATTCAGAAGAAAATTATATTATGGTTTGGAGAAGATGGATTGATTACATTCAGAAGAAATATGAAATTGAAAAGTATTATGTTGCTTTTGAGTAGATTTTAGATAATTATTATTAGTTTTAATTATATTATTATTTTTGACTTAATTTGTTAATACTTGTTTTGAGAAGGAGTTAAAGTGTGCTATGGTTTTGATTGATAGTATAGTTGGTTTATGTTAGTTAGATTATGTTTGTTTATTTTATTTTTTACCCTGTAATCAGCTCTGGGAAGTGGGGGAGGGGGGAAGGGGTGGGGGGTTATATTGTAATAAATTTATAAAACTTTTAAATAAAAAAAAAGAAGCAGCTACTCATAACCAACATATAAATGTTGAGGAGTATGCCACCACGGTGTCTGAATATATCCAAAAGTGCATAGAGGAAGTCTGTGTCCTTAAAAGCATTGTTGTGAAGCGAATGACAAACCGTGGCAAGATGCTGAAGGCTTTTAATGTGGCTTTTAAATCTCGTGACATGCTGGCATTTAGAGCAGCCAGAGTTAATTTGAAAAGTGTCATAAAAGGTGCAAAGCAACCCCTTTACCAGAAAATTCAGAACTTTTTTCAGGACCCAATAAACACCAGGCAAATGTGGCAAGGAATCCAGGCCATTACAGATTATAAGGTGGCTTCGATTTTGGAAGATTTGAGGCATCAAATAGCACTCCTGCTAGGAAAGCTGTGTCCCATCCTGAAAAGCAAGTGCTTAGCTTTGATGTCACCTCTGTCCGGAAAACACTGCGGAAAGTTAACATTCGGAAAGCAGCAGGCCCAGATAATATCCCTGGATGTGTTCTTAGAGAATGCGCAGATGAGCTGGCTTGTGTTCTCACAGTTATTTTCAATCTCTCATTGCAGCGGGCAGTAGTCCCATTATGTTTTAAGATGGCCATCATTTTACCAGTGCCAAAAAAATCCACAATTACAGGCCTCAATGATTACTGTCTGGTTGCACTAACATCCATCATTATGAAATGCTTTGAGAAGCTGATAAAGGACATTATTGTATCTAGCCTTCCGCCAGCATTTGACCTGCTTCAGTTTGTTTACCAACCAAATCACTCTATGGAGGATGCTATTTCTTCTGTTCTTCATCTGAGCTTGAAGCACCTAGAGGAAAGAAACGTTCGTGTGCATTTGTTGTTTGTCGACTTCAGTTTGGCATTTAACTCAATCATTCCCCAGTATCTAGTAGACAAACTGGGCCTTTTAGGCTTAAAGACTCCATTGTGCAACTGGATTCTTGATTTTCTTACTAACAGGCCCCAATATGTGCGAGCTAACACCATTTTCTTGAGCACAGGTTCTCAGGGCTGCGTCCTAAGTCTACTGCTGTTCAACCTGTTGACCCATGATTGTTAGGTTTGCCACCAACCATATTGTGAAGTTCGCAGATGATACAACAATAGTGGGCCTTATTCATGATGACAATGAGAGTGCTTACCGCAAGGCGGTTGAGAGTTTGGTGAACTGGTATAAAGGAAAACAGCCTAGTTTTAAAGACTGGAAAAACCAAAAAGCTCATTGTTGATTTCAGAAAAGGTAAGCACAACCACACTCCTCTGTGCATTAATGATTCACCTGTGGAGATGATTACCAGCATCAAATTCCTGGGTGTGCAGTTAACAAGTAGGCTGGCTTGGTCGCTCAACAGCGAGACACTGGTGAAGCAGGCACAGCAGCATCTGCATTTTCTGTGTTGCATGAGAAAAGCACATCTTCCTTCCCTTATCCTTCCCACTTTCTACAGGGGGACAGCATCACAATCTGGTTTAGAAACATCATTGCTTCAGACAGGAAGGCGGTGGAGAGAGTAGTGAGGATGGCTGAAAAGATTATTGGCAGTTCCCTCCCTCCCATCCAGGACATAGCACATAAGCATTGCATGAGCAGGATCCATAAGATTGTCTGGGACACAACACATCCTCTTCACGACCTGATTTCCTTGTTACCTTCTGGGAGGAGGCTTCGTAGTATCCGAAGCAGAACATCCAGATTCAGTCACAGTTTAGTTCCATACAGTATTAACCTTGTGAACTCTAAAGCTTCCTCCTTCCGTTATGTATTCAAGATGGACAGTGATTAATATTTATATGTTACTTATATGTTAGGGTGTATGTCTCTACATATGTTGTATATAGTATATTTAAATGTGTGTTATGTATGTGTACACTTTGAGAGCAAGCAACTAAATTTCATTTTTAATGTGTGCCGTTGTGCCCACAGTAAAAAATGACAATAAAGGTTATCTAATCTAATCTAAAAAGAATACAATCAGTTTGAAGGAACTATTTAGGATATGAATTCTAATTCCCCCCCCCCCCGCTCAGTATAGGAATCCAAGATGAAGAATCCCAGACAAATGAATGTCTAGCTTCTAGTTGAACAGATCCAGTGAAAGCCCACTACCTCTCTGGTTAATTGATACCTGATCAAATTGCTCTTACAGGTATGAATTTTTTTCTAATATTAATTGGGAATTAATTCCCAAAATTAATTGCCTTATTTTAACTTACATTCTTTACTCTATGTCCTGCATTCTGGAAGAAGAAGAAACAGATTTTGAAGTTGTATATGATTGTCAGGTTTCACCCAGAGTGATACTCAGACTTGAAGGCTAGCAAGCAGTTTCAACGATGCAGCTGTTAGATAAATAAGCTTATTACACATATTAGAAAAGTTGTAATTAAATAAATAAAAGTAAATTACATATCAAGCTGTGGAATGTGCTCAGAATTTCAGAACATCCCATTTTCCTTACGACAAACTTATATAAAGGTCAGGAAGCCACATTATAAGAAAAGATGGTAAAACAGGAGCCAGGTTAGTAAAGGAGTACAACAAGGCTGCATACTCTCTTTTTTATTCAATCTATATGTTGACTATATATTAAGGGAAGCTAGATTGGAGGCATGGTTTTAAAATTGGAGGAAGAAACATTAATAATCTGTGCTATGCTGATGATATTATCCTAAAAACTGAAA